TAGAAGATAAATTTGTTTTCTCTTAAACTTACCTCTACTGTGTGTAGAAAGAGGGTTGAGTGTAGCTTTGTGCAAGACACTACCCTATTGAGTGTAGCTTTGTGCGAGACACTCGTGAGTGTAGCTTTGTGCGAGACACTCGTGGTGCCAAGTGTAGCTGGGTGCAAAACACTTTGTTGGTGTAGGAGTATAGCTTTGTGCAATATACTCGGGAGTATAGCTTTGTGCGAGATACTCGGGATTGAGTGTAGCTGTGTGCAAAACACTCGGGAAGTGCCTGTGTGCACTTGATTCACTATTTGTATCTGGGTGAACGAGATAGTGAATTTCCTCCTTGGAGTGAAAGGAGAAGAGTGGACTAGGAGGATTACACCACCTCTGAACCACTATAAATTGCCTCTCTCTCATTTACTTACTGCTTTTTTTATTATTGCATGCATACTAACCCATTTACTATTCGTCTTATTCATTTATCTTATTGATTGGGTTATGTGACCTTACAAGTGCATGCAGACACAATTCTATTTGGATTCACTCTTTGATTCACACGTGACATCACACACATATTGAGTGCACCATCTCTTTAAATATTTATTTTGTTGTCTTGCATGTTGAATATTTGACTGACCCATCTTATACTGTGCGAAAATATTCATCTGGGTTTAGTAGTTTTCACGTATGCATGTGAGCATAAATTTGCATACTTATTATTTGAGCCATACCAAGCATATCCATCATATTGCATGTGATATATCTCTTTGATTTTACGTAACACTTGGTTGTTTAAATTATTCCGCTGTGCATCTAAGTTTCATATCTTGTTACTTAGCGTTGAAATTACCAAAGTGTTATTAATTGTGAAAAAAAGTTTAAAAAGTCTATTCACCCCCCCCCCCTCAAGACTTTTTACCACCCTATCGGGACCAACAGTTCTTGATGATCTTGATGATAAGAGGTTCTTAAGGATTATATGGTATTCTTGATGTTCTTGATAATTATATGTTGTTCTTGGTATTCGTATGATGATCTTGAGGTTTACGTGATATACCTACCGAATCTTGATATTAAAAGATGAATTGTGTTCTTGTTGATTTAAAAGGAATTAGAACCCTAGGTTGCACTGTGAAACTCGTGTGGTATTATTCTTGGTGTATTGGGTGGGAACTCACATGTTTGGGTGTTAATTATGTTTAGAAAAGCATGATAGGATATGTGCCGCATGTTTCTTGTTTGTGATCCGTTAATTGTCTATGTATTGTTGTCAATTGCGTTTGAAAGTGTCTAAGCATGGTTTCGGGTTCCACAAAGGTTCCCGGAGCGTTTTTGGTGAAAAAGAGTCAGTGGGGGGTATGTGGGGGTAGGGGACCCGCCACCTACCCGCGGCCAAGATGGGCAGTTTCGGCAGCGGGCAGCTGCCCGCCGGGAACCCACTGCCCGGAATAGTTAACGCCGGCGGGCAGCCGGCGGGTGAACCTTCACCCACCGGCTACCCGCTGGAAACCACCCCAACCCGGGATTTTGGCTTCCCCGTTTGATGTTCCCCCGACCCCCGTGGTGTCCTAACGGACCCCTCCCATCGTGCCTATGTCTAGTTTGATGTTCGGATACCATTCGTAGGTTGAAAGTGTCTTGTATATTGCATGCTAGTTGAATTGGTATCCCGTTGGCGTAGGTATAAGAAGTATGAACCCCTTAGGACTATTCTTAGTTGTGGATGACCACGCATAGGTTTCTTTATACGATTTCTCCCCCTTCCCAATGTGTTAATGGGGGTTGCATGTGCTTGCTATGTGTTATGTGTGCATGATACCCCAATTTGGTTGCGATCAAATTGGCTATACGGGCAGTTGGATGGGTTGAGAACCATACTAACTGTTAACCAGGCCGGTTGCGATCGGTCAGGTATATAAATATTATATAGGGCTGCGGTCCACCGTTTGGTTGCAATCAAACGTTCTACATGAGCTGCGGTTCATTTTCCTGGCTGCGGTCAGATGACATACTCTTGGGCTGCGGTCCACTGTTTGGTTGCGATCAAACTATGATGAGCTGCGGTTCATCGGTCCGTTGCGATCGACCCCTCCGTGTTGCGATACGGGGCAGGGTGCTGCGGGGCCGTGTCAGGGCTATATGCGCTGACCCTCATGTATGGGCATGCGATTGGTCCTGTGGCGCCAACAAAGTGTGCTATGTGATGAGATGAGAAGGATTGAAGTTATGGTAGTTATGGAAACGTGACCATAGGACTCTTGCTAGTAAACTATGCATGCCTAACTGTGATTATTGGTTGTGCTTATCTATAACTGTGCCCTATGTTGAGAATTATATATGCTTGATTATGACTATTGATTGTGTGTACCCTTATTTGTCGAGTCGGTTCCCTGATTTGAAAGCTAGAGTCTCTTAGGATATATCTTCATGCTTCGAAATGACTTTTCGTATATCTATGTATATATCTATATGTATTGTATTTCAACGCGTTGGAGTGGGTTACTAGCATCTCTCGCTGAACAGATATATTTGGCTTTCAGGCACAGAAGAGTAGACACGGGAGCGCGCTAGAATCGTGGAGCATAGAAATAGATAGTTTCCTTTTTGACATGCGTGCCATGATATGCATTCTCTTTATTAAGGATATTAGCTAGTTAGCCTGTGCACCTGAGTTCTCCAGCTCAGGTGTGGGATAGCACCCCGTACTCTTTGTATCGTAATTTGGGATTTAATGAGATTCTACCTTTATTATATAAGTTTTAAAAGTCTTGAAAATTTGGGGTGTTACAAAGAGATCAATCAAAGAGTTTGGAATGCATTTAAGAATTTTCAGCAGCCTCGTACCCCCTTGCGTACGCCCATCCGTCAGCCCATCCAAGATCTCAAAAAAGAAGCAGGTGGCGTACGCCCTGCCGTACGCCCGTACGTATGCCCGTACGCCCTTTCCAGTGAACCAAGATTAAATCGTACTGCCTCAGGGATGGCCATCCCTAAGGCAGTACCTCTGTGCTCTGTAAAATATTTATGCGATTTTCTTGGGTTTTTGAAGGAAGTTATAACCCTAGATAGCTAGAACTCATTTCTCTTCATTTCCTTAGACTTCCTTAGCCTAGACTAGTCTAGTATTACATCTCTAACTCATCTAGCAAGCTTGAAAACGCGGATTGGAGTGGGATTCAACCACAATTTCTTCATCTTCAATAGAGAAGCTTCTTACTCTTCTTTTAAAGCTTTTGTGCAATGTTTATGATATTTTCTTGTGCTTTGTTGTTATTTATGCTTATGGAGTGTGAGTAGTCCGTTTTTGGGCTCGGATTAGGGTGATATTGCCAACCTAGATGCTAAATAGGTGATTATTGCATAAGGGGGAAGATATCTAACCTAGGGTTCATTTGTTTGTGAAGGATTTATGTTGAATCTTGTTAATATTTGGTACGTAACTCTTATTAACTTGCTTTTGGATAGCTTTTCTCCACAATGAAAGTTGGGGGAAGAATTTAAGCCTCTCCTTTCTCTAAACCCATTTTCTTTCTATGAAAATAGGGAAGAATTGGGAGCCTAAAAGCTTATGTGTTTTAAGAGCTAGGATTTGATACACCATGAAAGTGGGGCAATCCTTGCTCTAATCCTTGTTTATTAGCTTATGAAAATGGCTTTAAGCTAGGATTTTTATGTGCTTTGCCCTTGTGTTCCCTTGGTTGATGTTCTCCCCTAATCCCTAAGTTGTTAAAGCATCTAGAAGGCAGCATCCCCTAATTTGAGCCCATCTTTTATCATTGCGTTTACTTGTGTTTAAATTGCATTGTCTTAACTAGATTTTTAGCCTTTAATTATTAACTTTACCCAACCATGAATTTGAATTTGCTTGGATTCTTGTGGGTTCCAATACTTTGGTGCCTAGAATTTTAGTTGTCACTCAAGTACGTGCCATAGTCCCAATCCCTTGCGGAACGACAATTTACACCCGTTACTCACCATCTCTTTCCCGTACATCACTTGTGGGGGCCTGCTCAGAGACTCGAATGGGGACTGGTGCCGCGGTTTTACTCTTAACCTTGGTCGATGCCAAGCCAAGGAAGCAGAAGCTTGGGGGACTCTACAAGGGCTGTGTATGGCAGGGGAATATAATGTCACAAGATTTGTCGTGGAATGTGACTCCAGGAGGATAATAGACTCTACAAGGGCCGTGTATGGCAGGGGAATATAATGTCACAAAAAAAAAAAACAAAAAAAAAAAACAAAAAACACTAGCTAAATATTAAAAAAATAATTTATAAATATTATTTACTCTCTTCATTGATCTCTATGGGCTATGGCTGCAGGAGTGGTCTCGTGTCATGTAAGAAAGGACACAGGGAGTCTTCATTGAAACAGGTCCTACAAACCGTTAACATTCACCTTTCCACACGGTTATAAATTAAGAATATGATAGATATTGCCAATATTCTTTGAAAATGCATGTCCATCCTACTAAATACCACATACAATGTAATGCTGTAGTTTTCATTTATGGACAGGAAATGTGATGAAAAATAAACACGTACGTTGAAATGTCACTTATATAAGATGGTGTGTATGCATATGGTATCATATCCTATCCTATTTATACAAGTGGCGCATAAGCATTATTAGTAGTCATAGTCATCAAAGTAGAGTAACCATTGAGTTTAAAAACCAACGTGTTTCTTGTACATCACATGGTCGGTCCATAAATGAAAACCACAAGTATTGTATATGGTATTTAATCGGTCTGACATGGATCTTCAAAGAATATTAGCAATATTTATCATGTTTTTATAGCCCTGTGGAATGGCGAATATTAATGCCGTGAATGACTCAACTTATTCACAACAAAAATATGTATTGGATGTAACTTACGTAACCCACTACTCCACCTAATAAAATGATTATGCTCATTTGTTGCTTGGCCCACAACTAATAATGCCAATGTCACTTATATAAAGAGGATAGGATATGATATATTATACATACATACCACCCAACAAAAAACAAAAGATCTGATGGCCACTTCTCAAATATTGATGTGTTTTGTTATTCTTTTATTTTCACTTTGTGTGGATACAACATCAGAAAGAACAGAGGGAAGAGCCCTTCTCAAGTGGAAGAACACCTTATCCAATATCCATGTTCTTCATTCATGGTCTATTGTTAATCTTGACAACATTTGCTGGAATTGGACTGGCATCAGCTGCAACAATGTCGGAGATGTTTATAAGATAAAGTTGGTTAACTTCAGCCTCTCAGGTACCCTTGAAAGCTTTGATTTCATTTCATTTCCAAACCTCACCCATTTTAGCCTCCATAATAACAGTTTCACTGGATCAATTCCATATGCCATTGCTAACCTTTCCCAGTTAAATTTCTTGGACCTCAGTTTGAACCGTTTTGTGAATTTTATACCACCAGAGATAGGAAGATTAAGAAATCTTCAGTTCTTGAGCCTTGGATTTAACAATCTTGATGGTATTATTCCTTTCCAAATAAGCCACCTTCGAAACCTTACTTCCCTTTCCTTATCTTTCAATTCTTTGACTGGTGAAATTCCAGAATCAATATTCTCTAGTATCACCAACCTTCAAACTTTTGATTGTAGAGGAAATCTTTTCCATGGCCCAGTTCCAACAAGTTTTATCAAGCTGTCCAAGCTTAAAATACTTGACCTACGTGCAAACAATTTCTATGGCTCAATACCTCCTACATTTGGAAATTTAAGCTCACTAACCAATCTTCATCTCAGCTCCAACATGTTGCAAGGAAATATTCCCGAAGCACTATGCAATCTTCACTCCCTTACCACTCTTTATTTATTTAACAATAATTTTAGTGGCCCGATACCTCAGTGCCTGGGAAATATAACCTCTTTAAGACGTCTTTCTCTCGATTCCAATGAGATGCATGGGAATCTATATAGAACACTGTGCAATTTTCACTCCCTTGAAACTCTTTATATATATAACAGTTGTTTGGGTAATCTAGTTTCACATTGCTTGGGGAATCTAACCTCATTAAGACGTCTTTCTCTCCATTCCAACACGAATCAAGTTAGTATTCCCGACACACTTTGCAATCTTCACTCCCTTGAAACTCTATATTTGTCTTTCAACAGTTTGACAGATCCATTTCCACAGTGTTTGGGGAATATAACTTCATTAAGATATCTTTCTCTCAGTTCTAACAGTGTGCAAGGAAATATTCCAGTAACACTTTGCAATCTTCGCTCCCTTGAGAGTTTACTTTTGTCCTTCAATAATTTGGGAGGGTCAGTTCCACAATGCCTAGGAAACATAAGCTCACTTAGCTCTCTTACTCTAGGCTACAATGCGCTGCAAGGAAAAATTCCCGAAACACTTTGCACTCTTCATTCCCTTGATGTTCTTGATTTATATCTCAATAGTTTGGGTGGTCCAATTCCACAATGCTTGGGAAATATAACCTCACTAAAGTATCTTTCTCTTAGTTCCAACATGCTCCAAAGAAGTATTCCCGATGCCCTATGCAATCTTCATTCCCTTGAGGTTCTCGATTTAACAAACAACAGTTTGGATGGTTCAATTCCACAATGCTTTGGAAAATTGAGAAGTTTGAAAACTTTACTTGTTTCTAAAAATCAGCTTGGAGGAATGCTACTTCCAACTCCAACACTTCCTAGTTTGATTTCTGGGATAGATACAGGGTTGTGTAGTTTGAGTTCCCTACAATTTCTTGATCTGTCAGACAACAATTTGAACGGTCCACTACCTCTATGTTTAGAGAGCTTCAGTAGGGAACTTAAGGTTATAAATTTAGCTAGAAATCAATTTCAAGGAACTATTCCAATAGTATGTAACACAAAGGGAAACAACTTGGAGTATTTCAATTTAAATGACAATCAATTGGAAGGGCCATTGCCTAGAGGCTTGACAAATTGCAGCCATCTTAAACTTCTAGATTTTGGAAACAACAAGTTACAGGATTCATTCCCTTATTGGTTGGATACTCTTCCAGATTTGCGTGTTCTTGTGTTGAGATCTAATCAATTTTATGGTGAAATATGTACTTCTAACAACACACTTCCATTCCCAAAGCTGCATATTTTTGATATCTCACATAATGAGTTTAGTGGTCCTTTGCCAAGATATTATATGGAGAACTTTGAAGCCATGAAGCAAGCAAATGATGATGAAATTTTGTCAACTTATGAAGCCTCAATAAGCCTAGTGTGGAAAGGGGTGGAGCTTCAAGTGGTGCACTATAATATCTGGATAGCCCTTGATTTATCCAATAACAACTTCCACAGCCAGATTCCCAATTCTTTAGGAATGCTACACCTCATCCAGTATCTCAATCTATCCCACAACCAACTTATTGGCTATATTCCATCATCACTAGAAAACCTAACCGTTCTTGAGTCACTTGATTTGTCATCAAACAAACTAGTGGGTGAGATTCCAAGACAACTTCCAAGATCATTGACATTTCTAGCCGTACTGAATGTGTCTTCTAATAATCTTTCTGGACCTATACCCCGAGGCTTGCAGTTTGACACATTTAGCAATGACTCCTATTTGGAAAACAAAGCTCTTTGTGGATTACCACTAATGTTACAATGCCATGGCAAGGGTGAAGAGGAAGCACCGGATGTGAAGGATTCAGAAGAGTTTTGGATTGAATTTGGCTGGCAAAGTGTTGTTGTGGGCTATTGTTGTGGCCTACCCTTTGGTATTGCTATTGGATATGTCATGTTTAAGTATGGAAAACCTCGATGGCTCATAAGGTTACTACTTGGGGAAGATAAAATGGAAGTGTAATAATCAAGAAGCACTGGTCAGTCGAAGCGATTCATCAATCTTGAAGCACTGTAGTTTCTCTTATTATATAGTTGTGATTTTAGTTGATTTTTTTTTTCCTACTGTTTTTATTGTTGTCTTTGCTGTGTGATTGTAGCGTTTTGATTTTTGGATTTTTTTTTCTTCTAATCATGATGGAATTTAATGGTTGTGTGGTTTGTAATTTTCTCAATCTGAATGAAATGCAACAAATCACAAGTAAGAAGCCTGCTTACAAGTTTAGAAATATACTTTTGGATTTGAGTTTAAGAATATAAATAAAAATAGAGGAAATTCTCAAAATGATCATTCGACTATAACCCTTTCTCAAATTGGTCCTATGACTTTTAATTGAACTCAAACTGGTCCTCAAACCATTAGATTTTAAGTCAAGTCGATCTTTCGTTAGTAGGGCGTGAACTTGATATCAAATTAGATGACAAAATAGGAAATTTACATTGTATAATGTTTAGACTACCCACGCCTTTGATTTTTCTTCCAAATTAGCGAACAAATTGTTGAAGCGGTATTTAGGTCTTCAATATAAATATGAATTTTTTTTTTCAAAAAAATATAAAGTAAAATATAGCGAGTCAACTCACTTTCTAAAAAAAATCAAAGTGTCCTTGTATTTAATGACATTTCAACGAATTTTTTGACAAAGGATAAAAAATGATCATGCCACAATAATACTAGGACCAAATGAGAATGTTCTAAAAAAAGACTTAAAGTGGACTATCACATATAGATCTAGGACCAAAAATGGAATTAACTCTTAAAATACACATTAATATGATATTTAAATGGTAAAAACTTATGTGAGACTGTCTTACGAATCCTTATTCGTAAAACGAATCAAGTTAAGATGAAAATGTAATATTTATATTGGAAAATGTAATAGTAATCGTGAATAAAATATTTTTACTTATAAGAGAATGTGTAATATTTTTTAATTTTGATTTAAAAGTATTGTATTTTCTTCGAAATTAAAGTATTACACTTTCTCTTATATATAATAAGTAACAAATTAAACACTTTATTCTTGATTAGTATTACATTTTTCAGTATAAATATTACATATCCATCTTATTTCGATCCGTCTCACAGATAAGGATTCGTGAGACGACCTCACAAGATATTCATTCTATTTAAAAATATCACTCTGATCTAAATTAATTAATATGAAATAAAATATATTTTTTAATGAAATGTATAGCCATGTCGATGTATAAACAAGTCAATCCTTCGTGTTATTTTCTTAACCATTAATTACTCAATTTTGTGATTTTTGTCCAATTCCTGATATTGATATCTTCAATATACTTTGGCTCTGTTTGGCAAACCTAGCTGAAAAGCTATGAGCTAGGAGCTGAAAGCTGAAAAGGAGTTGAAAACTGAAAAGCTATAAGCTCAGAGCTGAAAACTGAAGAGCTATTAAGCTGTTATGATTGAAAGTGTTTGGTAAAATTAGCTTTTTGACAAGCTGATAAATGTAAAAAGACTAAAAATGACATCTTCATAAAATTTAAATTAGTTTGTTTACATATTAAAATTTAACATTTTGTCTTTAAAAAAAATTAATGTTTTGAAATAAAAATATTAGCATAATCATGATCTAGTATCTCATAATAATAATAATAATAATAATAATAATAATAATAATAATAATAATAATAATAATAATAATAATAATAATAATAATAATAATAATAATAATATTTGCGGTGAAAGTTGCGAATAAATTAAAGAAGAAGAGAAAAAGGTTTTAATTGAGAAGGGTAAATTATGTCATTTCTTTAAAATAATAAGGATAAAGATGGAAAAAAAGTTAGGAAGCTAGGAGCTTATTTTGAAACGCTACCTAAAGTAGCGTTCCAAAATAAGCTCTTATTTTAAGCTAGGAGCTTATTTTAGGAACATTACCAAACAGAGCTGATAGCTTATTAGTAGCTTAAAATAAGGTATAAGCTCCTAAATAAGCTCTGCCAAACAGAGCCTTTATATTATTCTTTTTCTTCCCCTGAGTTCATCAACTTTATTCTTCTTTTTTTTTTTTTTTTTTCTTTTTGGGTATTAAAAATATTTTTTGATCAAGAGAAAAGAAATCTGCAAAAATGAACTTTGTTAGTTGGTAATAAAACTTAATTGACTAATTCATATTCTATTGATCTTTTGATTACCCCAAAGTTCATAAATTTTCATTGCTTATTGAATTTACTAATATTTTATATGCACAAAAATATATGCCCAATATTAATATCAAATGTTAATATTTTTTTAAATAATATTATATAATTTTTTTTATTTATAGTCGTAAAATTCATATTATATTAAATAAAATATAGTTGATAATTTGAGTAATAATTATGGTATGAAAACTAAATATAATTATGGTAAAATTTAATTAAAATTAGTGAAATCATACTTATTTCTTATAAGAGCATGTCTACATACATTATTACTGATGGATATATTATACCCACGACCCGACCCGGGGTAGCAACACGGACCCGGAACACCACGTTGGAGCCCAAAAGCACCCGACCCACGGTAGCAACACCGACCCGGAACGTCACGTTGGAGCCCAAAAGCACCCGGCCCACGGCACCATGGAGGTGCCCCGACCCGACCCGAGCTACGTGGGGCTCGGGTCGGATGGCACGATCCTACCCGAGCTCGGCCCATAGCGGGCTCGGGTAGGGTAGCTCGGGACCCGAACCGACCCGGTCCACCCGGGCCCGGTCAAAGTAGTGATCTAACTGCCCACGATTTGGGGGGAGGCGGTTGGGGGGTTTAGCTTGTATAAAAGCCCCCCTCCTTGTCCTAACAAGACACATTCTATCTATTCACTATTTTATACACTTGGTCTTACCAAATCGTTGTAATAGCTAATTCTACGACATTTAATATAATATACGGTCTCACGGCCTTTTACGACATCGTTCTATATTATTTATTTATTATTTATATTACGTTCTTATCCGTATTTATTGATTCGGGTCCACCCCGGGTTAATTAAATCCATAATTGGTGCTCTTGTTGAGAGCTGTTGTACCAGCTCAAGCGTGTTCTATATCCAGTGGTCTACCGCGACCAGCTACTATTGCAAGATCGAGATCCAAATCGCACCACACCAACGGTTTTCGCGGCACCCAGCTCGTCGCAACCGGGAACGGCCCTAACGGGGTACCCAGCCTTCAACCGGCCACCTCTGCCAGGTCGGGGGGAGACATGAGGGATCGCCTCACCAACCACCGCAGCAACGGCGCGCCACCTCCCGCCGCCCACATTCCGCCCCTAAGCCTTGTCCGCGAAGGGGTGGAAGTCTTTGAGCAGGCCTCCACGGCGCTAGCCCGGGTCACGCGGGGCCTCCGAGCAAGTGTGCCTGCCGACCCAGGCGTCAACCAAGGGCTGCCGACACTTACTCCACCTCCTCCCACCCGGGGGCACAGCGGTCCAAGAACCCGGCCACCCCAGGCACCCATCACCCAGGGGGAGGTCAATTCGCCCCGCCAGACGAACACATGGGAAGAGGGGACTCACGGCGTGACCGACGTTATGAGGACGAGGGGAGGAGGTCAAACCAAACCAGGCCCGCCATGGAGAGGTTGGGCAGCCGGGTGCCATCCCGAGAGAGGTTGGGCCCAAGGCCTGCCGCCGACAAGCCTGCACCAGCAGAATCATGCTCCCGCAGGCAAGCACGACGACAATCAGTCACCCGGAGGTCGCCAAGCCACGGACCTCGAACCCAGCCGCGACGAGATGCGGGCTCGCAGAGGTCACCAGGTCGGGAGACCCGAGCCCCACCTCGACGTGAACAGGCCTCCCGGGTCGAACGATCAGGTGAAACGAATGGTATAGCTCCAAGGTCCCATCGGGAAGAGGTCGAGCAGCTGCGGAGGAGGATGGACGAGCTCCAGAAGAAGATCGACGAGAGGGACGGGTCTCCAGAGCCCTAGGATGTGTTGTTCTCCCCGTTTGCAAACACCATCATGGAGGAGCCCTTACCTTGAGATTTTCGCTTTCCCACCATTAAGGCGTACTAGGGGACCACGGACCCACGGGCGCACCTCACCCGGTACCGAGCCGCCATGATGATCACCGGGGCCACCGACGTTATACTGTGCAGGGGTTCTTCGCCACCCTGGATGGGCAGGCGCATGACTAGTTCGGATCACTCCCGGAGGGGTCCATCTTCACCATTGCCGAGCTCACCAGGCAATTCTTGTCCCATTTCGCCACTAGCATGCAGCGAAAGAAGCAAACCGCCGACCTGTGCGATCTGAAGGAGGGGAGCTCGGAGTCATTAGCCGAGTACCTCAACAAGTGGAAGAAGGGGGCCATGGGGGTCGCCAACTTTGATGGAAAGTCGGGCATGCCAATCTTCTGAAACAACTTGAGGTCGGGCGCTTTCCTCCAGGACCTTATCAGGTACCCCCCATGAGCTATACTGACCTGATGGACAGGGCAGCCAGGTACGCTGATGCCGAGGCCGCCGAGAAGAGGAAGAAGGAGCAGGAGGAAGGGAGAGGTCGAAAAGACAAGGCACCCCAGGAGGAGCGCAAGGCGCCACGGCCACATCACTGGATATTGATATGATTGATATTGGGTAGTCTTGTGACCTTAGGATTCGTGCTAGAATCTTTATGTGTATGATAATTATATTGAACGTATCTGTCATTGCTTGATTGAGTCGGTCCTCGGTTTTAAATTAGAGTTTCATAAGTATATATGTATTCCGGCTTCAAAATGATTTTCCTTATATCTACCTATATTGTACTTAACGCGTTGGAGTGGGTTTCCAGCATTATTCGCTGAACAGATATTATTT